TGTAACCGCAGTTCGTCTTCTTTCGGGGGGTGCTTTCACCCGCAACCCAGGTCAGCCAGTCGATTAAATCGTCAAACGCCTTGCTCAGCCCTTCGGCCGTCCGGATTCTGACCATCAGGCGGTCTGGCCCTGGGTTTTCACAAATACCCCCGAGACATGGCCATCCACCTTCCGGTTTTGTGTCTCACCAGACAAGTCCTGGCCTGGGGAGCATGGCATAATCATCAGAGTGCGAACGGTAGCCGGCCGCCTCCGGTGCCTCAGGGTTCTGGGTTAATGCGTATGGTGTTAGATGGCGACCTGAAGACCTGGCGAGCTGCAAGTTTCCTTGTCCGGACTGCCATCGACCTTTCAACCGCAAAGTTATCAGGGATAGGCATATTAACACATACCATGCATGACGAGGAGAGAAAGGCGGGACCGGCGCAAAAGGTAGCTAGAAATCGGAGAGAGCAGAGGCTCTTGGTGCCAGACGGTATTAAGTTAGCGATTCCGTTTTCCCGAGACGGGAATAATATGATAACGTACTGCATTAGCAGATATTGTCGTGAATGGGATTTGCAAAGACCGAGGCGTGAGCAAAGGGATCAAGTTCGATTGTCTCTTTGGCAACGGCGTATGCTTCTGGGTCTTCAATCAAAGATAGATGGAGATGATAGGAAAAGACTGCCGGCTGTAGTACGCACGCTGACAGCAGAGGTGGTTTGACGTAGTACGAAGGATGTCTTAGCCTGATCGCAATCGGCCATCGCCCCGGTGCGCGAGTATTACGCCCACTATCCCAATCGTTTGGATCCCAATGACAGCGGAAAACGATCTCCTGAAGATCGCCAAGGGAAAAGCAAGTTGTCTTTGAAATCCCCCTTTTCTTTTTCACCTTCCTTTTCTCTGTCGCCATCGGTATCACAGTCTATGCCGCCGCCCCCGCCGCCATCCTCATCGTCTTCCTTCTCCCCCTGATCCGGCCCATCCTCCTTCCGGTCGAAGATGGCGCGCACAGAATTCTCAAGCTGCTGCCCGATTAGGAGCTTATTGTTCACGTCGTCATTCAACATCTTCCGTATCTGTT